CTCTTACAAAGATTTTGTGCATCAGAAAATGCATGTAAATATTTAATCTTTTCCTTATTGAGGAAACATATTATATTTACTTAAAATGTCTGACACTTTTCATACTAGTATGTAAAGATGTATTCTCTTTTTATATGGATGCATAACATTCTATCATACAGATGTATTATAATTTATTTAAGCAATCTTTTATTTATGGGCATTAATAATGAAATTTCCATGATTTTGCTATTATAGCAAGTGTTCTCCTGAGTAATTTCAGTATCTGGATTCTAAGGAATCTGAAATGGACTATATTCATATTTTCTGGAGCTCATTCCCTAAAACAATAGTTCTCATCAAATGTCAGTATATAAAGGATTCTATGACTAAATACCTGGGCAATTCTGGTTATTTCTTGGAAAGTTTATAGTAGATATCATCAAAGTGAAAGAATTTCTGTGACAATCTGTTTCCCCAAGTGTTCACAAATCTTACATTTTCTCAAGGAGCCACAATACAAGATTGGGTTCCCTGGGAAGGAGATGCTGGAATACATAGGCATAGTCAGGAAGTTTAATGAGGTATGTTCTTGGAACAGCTCCCGAAAGACACAGAGTGAGGAAATTAAACAAGGTGTATATAAGGAAAAGTTGAGTTGTGATGAAATAGCAGCAAAAGTCTCAGTGAACCCACAGGGAAAGAAAGCTTGGCAACTAAGCCCATTCAAAGAGCAAGATTCATGTCTTAAGCTACGTCACTGACAGCTCTCTATTGTCAACTGGCATCATAAGCATCTCACTGTTCAGTACAAATATGAACAACATCTCTTAGAAAGACACATTTCAGTTTCTACATGGGATTTTTTTAGTCAGAGTAAGCGTGGCTTCTTGGTCTCTGAAATATGGATATTAAGTTGAAAGTTATTTGAATTATCTCATATTCTTCACTTATAATTCCATTTACAAGCATACTGATCACACTCCAGCACCCAAAATAAGGGTCTCCAAGCATGTACTTGGCTGCTCATGGGCCTGTGACATGCATAGACCAGTTACAAGCTTGTATTGATTCGTGCTGTGCAGTTATGGAGAAATGGCATTGTTTGCAGTGCTTTCGAGGATGTGCTTCTTAACTTGGGGCCTGGTGAAGTGAAGGCTGAACTAAGGTTGTTTTTGTTTTAGTATTTTGGTTACCTCTTGTTGCGTGTTTGCTGAAGTACCTAGCTTTCTACCTTTCTAGGATCATTAGCCCATATTGGTAATAACTGAGGAATTAGTCTGATCTGGGGCATGAGAAAGCAGTCAATTAACTTTGAAACACTGTGTCAGGAATTCTTGGTCATCCTTTGGAGGATCAGGGAGGAGACCAGTGGCGTTAAAAAGCTAAAAGCCAATCGAAGTTTCTTAGAGACCTTCAGTTGAAGATCAGATGGGTCTAAGTGCCCATCCTATGTCTTTCAGGCATTCATTTATTTCATTTATAGGCCTCCTTCAGAATTCACTAATCATGTTTATCAATGGAAGCTTGTTTCCTGGTAAGAGAGGGGAAAGGGCTAAAAGAAGGGGCCACTATTAAGCATGCCAAATGGGGATGATAAAATTTCACAAAGATGGTGACAAGATAGACACAAAAACTTAAAAGAAGACAATAATGTATTAAGATAATAAAGTAGGAATAGTGTCCAGACGAAGGGACTGGCTGTTAACTCTAATTCATGGGAGAACAAAAAAGAGTAAAAGCAAATGCACAACTGATATTCTTCTGTGTCTGAGCTCAATTTTCAAATAGAACACAGAGTTTTTAAAACATTAGTGTTCATTTTCAATAAAAGCATTTATCACAAATCTTCATAAGTGCTGTTATTCTTTTGATTGTGTAGTAGTAATTGATCAAATAAGAGATTGTAAAATGGGGGCTGGAGAGATGACTCAGCTGGTTAGGAGCACTAGCTCTTAAAAACAAAGGACCTGGGTTAAGTTCCAAGCACCCACATGACAGCTAACAACTGTAACTTCAGTTCCAGTGCATCCAATGCCCTCTTCTGACCTCCATGGACATTGCATGATACAGGTGCACTTAAACATATGTGGGCAATATACTCATACACGTAAAATAAAAATAACCAATTGTTTTTAAAGGGAGACTGTAAAAGGCAGTTTCAAAGGTATTAAAGTAGGCAATATATTGTTATAGAGGGAGAAAACAGTAGAGCAGAAGTTTTTGTTAAATAGATACTAAATAAGTCAATCCTTTCTGGACAGTTGTTGACACTTTTGTTTCCTCCCACAACAAACAGGCTTCTTTATGCTAACTCTGAGGTATTTTTGGAACTCCTATTCTCCTAATGCATTTGCATTTCTCAGAAAAAATGTCAAAAAGATATAAAAGCACGCCGGTCATTTTCATTTAGTCAGCTCTCTGTCCATGGGCTCTTCATTGTGGACCTCCAATGGCCGTGGACCTTGAATGTACCCTGCAATTAGACTGGCAATGGTTGCTTCTGTATTCACCACAAAGTAATGTTTTCACTTGTTATTCTCTAAACAACATGATCTAAGTATTTACATAGCACTTGTTTTGTATTGTGTATTTATTTAATATGGAGGTGGCCTGAACCACACAGGGGAATGCCAGAGGTTGACTGTAGCACTACTCCATGTTGTCTAAGTGATCGAGCATCCATAGGGGCCCCTGAAAAATGCCCCATGAATACTAAAGAGCAACTCTGAAACTAAATTTCATTATCTAATCTTATCTTCATAGCTTCGTGTACATGTTCTCCTGATTCAAATTAGTCTTGTGGATCAATATGGGGAGGGTGCAGTCCAGTTTATTTGACTTTAGCCTCCTTCTGGTCCTACTGCTTCCAGTTAGTGATTGAGAAGATGGTACAGGGCAAAGGGCCTGTATGTCTTCCTGGCCTGTCCTCTAGAGGTACTTGTTTGTCTTCCCATGTAAGAGACTCGCCATTGAGGTGGAGGGGGCTTCCACTGTTGGGAGAGCTCCTCCAGGACAGATGTGTGGTTCTTCTAAGTTTTCTAAGTTCCCTCCTCTGGTCTGGTAGCCTATCAGATTTGGTTATTTTTAGTCCCCTGGTAAGGAAGCCAGCCTTGATTCAGGGGAAATTCATCCAGGTTTGCTGAGCTAAACATTAGAAACAAAGTCTACATTTTTTTCCAGTATTTTATTCCTTTATACAGGTTTGAGAGAATATCACTTATCCTTGCTGATAATGTATCCATCCAGGGAATAGGATACAAGCTTGTGTCAGTCAGCTGTGGATGTCATAACAGAATGCTTCAGAATCATTAGGTTAAACTGTAGGAATTTATTTCTTGCAGTGTGAGAGCCTGAGAATTTCGGCTGTTTTCCTGACGAATTTAGCTTTTTTTTTTTTTTAATGTGCACTTTGTGTTTATTAATTTGACAGCTTGAAAGCTTTACAACAGTAAAACAGTAATAATTGGATGGACTGAATTATTCAATTTATTGGAAAAAAGACTTCTTTTTGTTTAAGAAGTAAAAAGTTTCCTTGATTTTAGGCCATAGTAATGATACCTCTTCTTGTGAGAACACTAATTCCCTAATGGGGTGTCCTTGAATAAGTAACAGTCCTTACTCATTCCTCTCCTCCCTGGTATTTTGTCTTCCATAAATATGATTACAGATGAGGCCTTGGGGTTGGTTGCTGGTGTTAAATGGTGAATAAGTGGGGTTTTCCTAACTCTGAATTAGTTAGATTTGGAGCCAATATCTTAACTTATTCATAAAATTTGCATTAGGATTTTGGGGCAACACAGTTCTTTATCCCTAACATGAAGTTGAAGTCACTAACTCTAGGGTAAGAATAAGGTCATATTCAAAACCTTTGCAAAATTCCTCTTCCTCCTGTCTTGGATTCTAAGATTCTGCCAGGAGAATTCCTTTACTATACTGAAATACTTATTCTTCAAGACCACTTCCACTGCCACCTTCTCACTGAAGTCTTCACAAGACCCTCATCTGCCCCAGTCAGGCAGAGCTAATTGGCTCACTCACTGGTGTCGTGGAGGGATTTCTTAACTCCTTGAAAAGCGCTCAGGGCACTTTTCACTTGTTTTCATGTTCTACTTCTATATATTGTGAGTATCTGAAGCATTAAAACCAGTTATTAGAATGTCTAATACAGGTTTTTATACACAATAAGTTTTAAGTAAATACCTTTTCAGATTTTATTGACATTTTAAATTTTTGAGTTTTATGCATACATACAATATATTGTGAACTCATCATTGTTCTCCCATTTCTTCTCCCAAGTAAGTATTTTAATAACTAATTGAAGAAGATATAAAGTTGAGGGTGTGCATATAACATGGCAAAACTCTGGATTTATGATAATATTAAACTTTTACTACCTCAATAATGATCAGAACAAGGTAATCTAAGATATTATTGCAAACTTTTAATAAAATATCCTTCATATCAGTAGTGATTCTGAAATTTTCCTAAAATTCTTAATTTATCTTATAAATTCATTTTATACATTTTACTCTTAAGTGGCATGTATTGGAATACTTAAAAATAAGAGGCAGGCTATTTTAAGCTTTGTTTTTTAAATAGTATAATCTGTTGACATATTCAACCCCTTAAAATAATACATATACTCTAAAACATAGCATTGTATATAATATTGTATTTTACTTCTAATTATCTGAGTGGAGAATTGTAGAATAGGTGCTTACAACTTATTGTCAACATCTTTCTTAGACTTAGTAATTTGGTATCAAGCCCACAGGCACATGTGACATCACATTTTCATTGAGTTGTAAGAGGTAAAGCCATGAATGTAAATTTTGGGAATTTTGAGGATTTTAGAAAAGATCTACTGAAAATTCAGCCCTAGATTTAGAATTTTTCAACATATGAGTCTTCTCTTCCTTAGCAGCAGTTGGTCCACAGTGAACTACAAACCTGAGGAAAAGGGGATCATCCAGTGTGTAGATTCTGATCTCTTTATCTCTTCCCTTTGGCTCCTACAGAATCCACTATGAAGCGTGGTCATTTGGCTCTTTGAAGCAGTGTCTCAGCATGGTCCATGCTGGTGATGCCCTTTGGAACACAGAAGCCCATGTCAGCAGATAACCAGCCTACAGGAGGTCGTGTAAGCAAAATTTTAAGAATTGCACCACGTGATGCAAATGCTGTTATCCTGACAAACAGCAATAAGATGTGACAAAAGAGGTGATGTTATGTACACTCAGGGCTGAAGAAAAAGAATGTGTTTGTGGAAAAAGAAAATGCCCGAGTTTAAAAACATTAGAGAGAACAGAGAATATTGCACAGAACAGAGGAGGTAGAAAGTAAGATGAAATATTTTAGCCTTTCTTATTTAATTAACCTCTGTCCCAACTAGTCATCTCTCTCACGCTGGTGGACAGGAGCCTTAGCCATGGATGGGCATGAGCAGTCCCAACAGAGTTTCATTTACAGAAGCAGGTAGAAAATGAAATTTAGCCTGTAGACGTGCTTGACCAACTCTGGGCGTACAGATTGAATAATTCTGCATCTCACTTTCTGTTCTGTTCCTAGAAAAATTTGAAGAAATAGGGTGCTTCAGATAGCACAACAAAAGTAATTCCACTATACAGTTCTCTAACGAATGTCTTAATGTAAGCAGATCACAGAACAGCATAGGTTCAACTGTTTAAACACTAATTGAAATTTTTGGAAAATATTTGACAACAATGTCAGATAAAGTTCAGTCTCAAAAGCTCACCAAATTAAAGCCAGAGAAATAGAACTGTATGCCATGGATTATTGGTAAACATACATTTCATTTTTATTCTCCATAATAATTTCTGTGTAGCCTTCAAAAATTCTGTAGCATGTGAAGAGATCAAGATTAACAATGCAGAAGGTGAGGCAGTTTACAGAAATGAAACTCCACAAGAATCCCGAGAAAGAGGCTATAATGCCTATCTTGCTCAGTCATTTTTGTTGTTGGAAAATTATATTGGTAATAAAAATTGAAAGAAAAAGTAGGAAGGGGGTGCCTTTGGCACAAATGAACTGTAACTGAAACTTACACTATGACTTTGTAGGCTTCCTTGAAAATGCTCTGTTTCCTAGAAATTTTGTTACAAAACAAAAGCTCAAGAACCAATTTGCTGATAGTGTTTTGAATGTGCACATTTTAGGGACTGTTACACTGAGGTCTCAAGGAAGAGGCAGGGAGGCATTTTGTATGTTGAGGTAATAGGACTTGGGACATTTTTAGCACTATGGCTCTGAATTACCCTGTTACTATGAAATATTGATAAAAATGAGGAACCATTGTTCTTTGTTTGTTTGTTTTATTTCCACTATGATGAACCATAGGGCAAATAACATGGTAAAGGGGTTTTCTTTGAAAGTTGTAGGAAACTTAAATGGGACTCTCCCTCAGATTCACAGTAGTAAATAAATCTTATGAAGATGTAAGAAAAGTATCATGCGCTCCTTGATTTTTTTTTTTTTTTAGTGAGTTTCCTTTATTCCCTAGATTTTTTTTTTTTCTTTCATTTTGGTTCTCTTTGTGGAAATACTTGAAAACAGAGGCATTTTGATTGGTTATCAAGTGGTGGCTAAAGATAGCTTTCCCTATCTGACATGAGGAAGGGCTGAAAATTTAGCCTACGTGGAATTAGGAAACTCAAGGATCTCTTTCAATTTGCATCTTAAAGCAGGCAATCTGATATTTATTTCTTAGTGACCCTTGCTGTTAATTGTAATAAGGATCCTCAAAATTGCAATTTAAACAGGATCTTCCTTCCAAAGAAGCTATTGTCTCAAATAATTAGTTAGAAAGTTTATTAGGCCCTCCAGTAAGGAAACCTTGGTTGAAGTCACATTTGTGTTGGTCCAATCTCATCTGTAGTAACTATCATGATCCGTATATTTTTACACTGAGAAGAAATGTGCTGAGAAAGCAGAATTCGTGCCCATGATGTGTTAGTAGGGATCTATCTGGTGCATATTTTCATTCAGTGCCCTTACCTTTTTATACTTCAGCTGGGACTGCAATCTATAGAACTGACTAGCCTTGAACCCCCATGTTAAACTCTATTTGGTTAAAACTTACAATTGTCTTTCTTATTATCTTTCTAATTATCAAAATAAGGTGCGTTCATTATAGTAAGACTGAAACCTTAGGGAAAGGTGAAGTGGGGACATATTACTAGTTAAGCAGTGACTGACAGGTAACTTATTACACGGTTCTTTCCAGAGGCAGTTTTTCTACAGTCTATGTAAAAAAATAAGATGGAAATTTTTCATTGTGACTTTGCTTGTTTAACAGCAAATTATGACATTTCCCTGTGGCATTACATAAGTAAATATTATTTTAACGTATATAGCAATCCAATCTGAAATGTATTAAAATCAATCATTAACTTCCTTAATTTAGGTAGGAATTAAAAATACACAATGGAATGCATTTTTAATAACTATGTGCAGATTTCTAACAATTTTTTTAGGAATATTTCTTTAGAGGGTGTATTAGTCAGGCCTCCAGAGAAACAGAAACAAAGGAACATGTAATTATAAAAGGGGATTTTATTAGACTGACTCAGATGGGCTGAAAAGTCCTGCAGGGACTACCTGCAGGCTAGAAAACTAGGAATAGTGGTAGCTGCTCAGTCCAAAGCTGAAAGCTTCAGAACGAGAGAGAGAGAGAGAGAGACAGACAGACAGACAGACAGACACACTAGAGAGGGGAAGCCCAGTATAAAATCAGAAGCCCGAGATCCCCCAGAGAGCCACTGGTGCAAGACCATGGTCAGTGGGTAAAGAATTTGGACTTTTATGATCGCATGCAACAGCAGCAGACACGTGAACTTGTTCAGCAAGGAGAACATGAGCAAAAGCTAGCTTCCACTTCCAGTTTCGTGTTCCATTCTGCCCATGCCCATCCCTACCATATGCTGAGGATTCTTCCCTGCCCATTTCACTCACCCAGGAACCAGTTTTCTTCAAAAATATCATCATCAATCATCCTGGAAGTATAAATGAGCGGTTTTCTTGGCATCAACCATCACAGATGTCTGAAGTTATGAGTAATATTAAAGGTACTCACCAACACAAAGTAGCTGCACATATGAAATCACAGAGCTAGAAACAGCATGCACAAGACTTGTGCAAGTTCAAGACAGATTAAAAACCCAGCATTGTTAGGGGGAGGTGGGCAGGAAGTCCCAATCCTAGCCAAGGCTCCATTGGGAACTCTGCTGGGGTAAGGACAGTTTTCTTTAAGGGTGTGACACCTGATGGACTGGTCAGACTCCAAGGAATGGAGCCACAACCAAGAGCATGTGGGAACACAAATTAGACTCGATAGGCCTGTAAAAAAGAAGAAAAAGAAAAGTAATCATAGAGGACATGAAGTTGGTGGGTGGTATAGGGAGGCTGAATGGAGGAGGGAGTCTGAATATGATCAAAATATATGAAATACTTTGAGTCAAAAAATACATACTAAAACTGCTCATCAAATATTCTAGAAACTATATAAAAATTTACTTTCATCATCTCTGTGAGTACTTGTGACATCATGGCTTCACCAGTATTGACACTCACAAACTATTCTGTTCCCTTGGGGAAAAGGGCAGTAGTTGTCAAATGTAAACATCCTCCTGGATAACTTATACAGAGGACAAGGAGGTTGGGCCTAATAGCAGGGGTGGAGGAAGAATCACCCACAAATAGTTAGAGCAAACTCTTGGAAAATGAAATACCTTGAAGTCCAGACTATGACATTTGTTGGCCAAGCAACTGAGACTTCTCATGAGATACAGGGAGAGATGGGTACACAGAGGGAACCCACTGTGGCCAATGAGCAGACATCAGATAAGTATTCTGAAAAGCAAAACACCCTATAAATTGTCAAGTAAATTCCAGGAGAAACGGTTGCAGAAAAAATCAGAGAGAGATGTTTATGTTTTCATAAGAGACAGATATCTAAAAGTTCATATTTCAAAACAGAGATAAAGGGATGGGAAGGAAAGGGTGTGTCTCCTGATGGCATCTTCCAGTGATGAAGATGCAGTTGACAGAACTGGTACCTTAGAGCCAGTGAATTTCACCATATACTTCCTAGCAGGTAGAGTTAGACAGCTGTCTGCCTCACTTTCTTTCTCCTCTGAAAGCTTCTTTGTATCTCAGTCCTGACCCACGCAGCAGAAAGTTAACAGCACTCTCTTCTCTTCTTTTCTGCCTGTGAGTGACTTCTGGTGGTGCAGCTTGCCTGAATCTGCGTGAGGAAATAGCCAGCTCTGCAGCTCTACCTTGCATCAATTCTTCCTTTTCTGATTTATTTTCAGTGTACTAATTACTTTCCTGAAATCACATTTGTGATGAAAATGCTTCCATGTTTAAAGATGATGTTGTACCTTTATTGCTTTTCCAATATCTATTGGGATTTCTTCTCTGGTGCATAGATTAGTTAAACAGGTGTTGCTTGCTTTTCATGCAATTGAGCACTCTTTATGTATTGTATTTGTTTACTTTTCTCACAGCCAGAATTTATGTCAATTTAATTTTATAATGATTTGCTTGATGCTTAAATTTGGCAAATGCTAGAAGAGGACTTGAAATTAGTATGATTTGTGCCATTGTTGATCATGCCACACACACCAACTTAAATTTTCAAATGTATCATATACTTGCTGAAATTTTCTTTTATTTGTTACATCAACTTTTAAAAGACATGAGTAAAATGGTTACAGCAGTGGCTAATTTGTCCATTCTTTCTGGTTTTAGTTTGGTAAATTTTACTTTAAAAAACTAAGAACTGTGATCTTCAGCAACAGGTTTTGGATTGGTTATACCCCCTGGTAGATTGGCCTTCTAATAATGATGTTTTTCTAATGTTGGTGTTCAAATTGATATTATGCTAGATGTACCAGCTTATTCCTGTATGAACACTAGTTCCAAGCATTTCAATAAATTATTATTCTTCACCTCAGTAAATTATTACCAGAAGGAATCTAGTTTATTAAAAAGTAATATATATTATGACTAAGGTTCATTCTAGCAATGAAAGATAATGCCTTTAAAAATAGTTAATCATATCACTGGATCTAAAGGAAAATCATATGTTAATGCCCCAAAATGGAAAAAAAATCAGTT